GTTTTTGTTCTCTGTCAGTTAAGAGAGAATGAAAGCTTCAGCGTAGTCGTCGAGTCTATACAGAAGGGCTAAAGAGGACCAAGTGCATTGGAGATGTCCCATTGAAGCCAAATACGTATTCAATTTGGAACCTCAATAATAATAATAATAATAATAATAACGGCTTTATTGCGAATATTATGTTTGATACGATGTGAAACTGCTTCTAATCCTACCTGATTATAGGCAAGGGATGAGTTGTATATAAAGAGGGTGCTCATAGTTCAACAAGATGATATTTGCAAACTTCTTCCATGAGTTCTAGTGTCTACCTACAACAGTATTAACAGGTTGATTTAGCGATGCCACACTCACGCTACCAAAAAGACTTTAGTGCCCTTTACAGAGTAGCAAAGTTTTTCTTAAGTAGCCCAGAGAAGACTAAGGGAGAGTAAAAAAAGAATAGGCAGAAAGATGAGTCAATAAAGCGTAAAAGTCGGCACTGGATGATGCGCAGAACGTTAAAAGACATATATTTTTAGAAACTAACATGACAGGGTAACAGACACTTAACATTCGATTTAGTTTCAAAGCCAGAGCTTTCTGTGAAATAAGAATCAAGAAGACCAATAAGTTTTAATGGAAATCGCATTTAGATAGTTGGAGGCGATCGGAAGGAAGTCCTTCACCTAGGTTTCGTGCTAATTGGCACTCATCAGCAAAGAACTCATGTGCATTCTGAGATTCGAACCCACGTCACCTAGTGCTGCAGTCAGAGACGTTACCACTGAGCTAGCTATTTAGGCTGGCTCGCGATTTACCTCCTGAAGGACTGTGGTGGGTATTTTGATTGGACACTATTAACTATTGTGACGTGTCTAATGCTTTCTTTGGTGCAGACTAAATTCTATCAGTCGAATTTGTTTCTGAAAGTGAAATTAACAATCTGACGTTTGGAGGGATTAGCTTAAGGCAAACTGGACAAGGTCTACTGACCAATTACTGTTGAAAAGCTCTTCGTTTTGGAGCATTGTGAATGAGAGGAAAGGCGCATGTGAGTAAACAGTGGCAGACTACTTCCCAACGACCTTTTAATCCATCAACCTGTTTATCTTGCAGCAAGATTGTTTAACAAAAGAGGCTCATGTACAGAGTCGAAGGTAGATTTGTAATCAAGGTATGTACGCCAAGCATATTCAGCACAATTGTCTAAATTGAAGACAATATTGTGTTTAAAAAAATAACAATGACATCCGAAATACATCAACTATATTTGGAAGCAAACTGTTTTCGTTCGTTGAAAGACTTCAATCAAGGTTAAAATAAAATCTCGATATTTTAAACAGTGAACCTTTGATTTCCCTAAATTTCCCAAACATAAGCGAAATAATAACACAGCGCCTGAAGAATGCAGTTAAAAGAGCTTATTGTGCAGCAGAGCTACGTTGTATCTCCCCAACCTCCCCTATTCTCCTCTATCTAATATCTTAAATGCTTCTTTCTCCGAAAACGTTGTACCTGTTCCATGGAAAGACATTAAAATAGTCCCCGTCCCTAAACCTGGAAATAGCAAGAACGTGAAGTTCAGACCCATTGCCATCACTTCCCCGTTTCTAAAGCTCATGGAAAAACTAGTACTTCTTAAACTCGAACCCTCCCTTACAAATTTTGAAGACCCCAAACAATTTGCCTACAGACAGGGTAGGAGTACTTTAGACGCTGCAGCCGTCTTACACAACAGTATCGTCTCATCATTAGATAAAGGTGCCAAATACGTCCGCTGCATGTTTCTCGACTTCACTTCTGCTTTCGACTCTGTACCTAGATGTTTCTTGCTAAATAAGCTCTCCATGACACAAACTGAGTCCTGGATCACAAACTGGTTGCATTCCTACTTCCTTAACAGAATGCAGTACACCGTATACAAAAGCGAATCCTCCTCTGCTGTGCTCACTGAAGCTGGTGTCCCCCAAGGTGCTGTACTCTCCCAACTTCTCTTTTCTTTCTTTCTACATGACTTACCATCCTCAAATGACATTAATTCTGTCACATATGCTGACGAACTAACTGTATCTTTACCTGTCAAATGTCAAAGTGACTGCACTAAACTAAATGGCTTCTTATCAGAAATCAGCCAATGGTCCAAGGAAAACGGCCTCACCTTAAACCCCTCCAAATGCCAAACAGTTAAGTTCACCTTTAGGCACAAATCTGACCTAAACAAACTGGTTAGCACTCACGAGGTGTGCAACATAGATGGCACTGATATTGAAACCAAGTCGGAAATTAAATACCTAGGCGTCACTCTATCTTCTGATCTTTCCTGGTCGTCTCATATCTTGACGATTTTGAAGAAAATATTCCGTCTTACCTTCTACATCAAGAAGTTAAGACATTCTGGTGTAACCCAACCTTTACTCCTACAATTTGTTAACTCCCTATTATTCTCTATTGCTCCCCCTTAGTCTTTCCTGGGCTATTGAAGAAAGACTATACCTTATTACGCAGGATGTTAAAGGTTGTCAGCAGGGTAAGCAGTTTGCTACTTAGCCAGCTTGTTAATATTCTGGTGGACAGGCACATGGACTCATGTGAAAAATGGGCGAAATCCATTTTATCTAACTCACAACACCCTCTACATTCACAACTCTCTCCATGTATCTCATCAGGGTAAACCAGAAGCTTATATAGGAAACTATATGCCCGCACTAGCAAGTACAAAAACTCATCCATATCCTACCTAGCTCGTGTTCTGTGCGATAAAGAAAGCATTAAGTGTGAAACCTTTAACTTATTAAATAGTCAATAGAACAAATGGGTCTCGTCTTTCCAACTCATATCATTTATAGGTACAACGTTTTCTCTCTACTTTTTTTTCTCTTTCTGTATTTATTTTTGTTATGTGCTGTTTTGTTTCTCTCTTCATTACAAACTCTACTTAAAACATTCTTGTTCGTTCTATCACACTCTGTATATCTCGACCATTTTGCTATCGCTTACGCCAGTAAATATGCTAGTAGTATCTACTTTTCTAACACCTTCAAACACTCTGTTTAAATTTTGGCTTTGCTACCGACATGCTAATATGTTGTTGTCAAATCTGACTGAGATAACTTTAATCTATGTAGAACTTTATTTATTGTTAACGTACTAAGCGGATGCAATATTGTAGTAAAAATGCTGAGAATTCCATTCTGTATCACAAGTACTAATTTGGAATAAAGCTATTATCTTATATTATCTTGTCTTCAAGAAATAAGGACAAACTACCTAAATTTACCTGCTCTATGTGTATCTACCGGTTTGACTGCAGCAACGGAGCCAGCTACACTGGGCGTACAATTGGGCAGGTTCATCATCGTATTTCCGAACATCATCCTGCAGTATGGTTAAGCATGGGACAAACAAGATCTATTCGTAGTTCTATTTTATCTCACCTTGTTGATAATGAGCATTAATTTGATGTTAATACTGCATTTAAAATTATCTATCACATTCCTAGTAATCTTAATTTTGGATCTACGAGTTCGTCTTCTACATACCTACAGCTGAAGCAATAGGAATCCACCTGAAGAACAAGCCGAACTTGTATGTGTTCATAAGAAATTTGTACAGCCACTTTCCATACCTTGACCATCGTTACATGAATGTATAAACCAGACTAATTCGCTCTCCTCCCCCTAAGCATGTAAAAGTTATGACAGTCATAGTTGTTCAAATTATTATTATGACCACTTCATCTTTAATTACGTGTTATCCTATGTAAGATTAATTTATTCTACCTATTTCTGACTTTAAAGTGTGTACTGATTTTCTTTGTTAGCTATCAACCCATTGACATTTTGGACGCTGACTAATTATTGTTAACAAAGATATCAGTGCCACTTGATTGGTAAACTGTTGTGTATTGTAATAAAAATGCCATATGTACGTGTATATTAGAGTAGAGCCAGAGTGAGATGAGGATCTAATTGAAAAGTAAATATTTTGAAATAATAGAAAGGATTTGTAGCTTAGGTGGATGATTTGCAATTAATAGTGTTCTCTGAGCTGGGTGGTTTAGTTGCGGAGCTTTCGTCATCCTTCTGGAAGAAAAATGTTTACAAACGGTCTTCAGGAAGAGTGGTTGTCCACAAAATTTCATGAAAAAGTGTTTGAAGTCGAATCAAAACACTAACAAAGAACTATCATCAACGACTACAAGAAAATTCATTCTACCATTCATGAAAAATACCTCTGGAGTAACAGCCAGAACACTGAAACCGTTTGATATAGACATAGCACACAAACCAGTAAAATCACTTAATTCGATATTGTGGAAACCGAAAGATCCAACAGAAAAAGGGGATAAAATTAATACCATTTACAAAATTAATTGTATGAACTGTAACAGGCATCACAAGAACACAAATCATTCGTGAAAAGACACGACATATATTCTTCTACATCAATACATATAGACAACTATGGACATCAATTTGATTGGGATAATGTCGAAATCATGGACAGAGGAAACGCCAAAAGTGCAGTCAGGGAATTCCTAGAAGCTTGATACTCAAACGAATATGCAATTAACAAACACGTTAATATAGACCAAATATACCAACTAAAAGAAGTGAGTGCGTACTGATGAAGAGTCCCAAACAGCTGTCCAGTACTCCCAGGTTTTCCAATGGTTCTCTAACTAATTTCAGCTTATGATGAAGTTTTAAAAGAAGTGAATCATGTGACCAGAAAGTTTAAAATACAAGTCAGTAGAAAATGGTCAATACATATGTAAAGATGGTTACCGGGAGACGGAATTATATCACTGGTGGAAGGAATTTAAATCATTTCACTTTATGTTAAACACTGAGCTGAAGATGTTGTCTGGAAGGGGGACAACAGAATCTCCACAGCTGAACCATCCAGCTCAGAGAACACCATTAATTGCAAAAGTAAATATTTCTTCGCTCAATCTTTCTGCTCCCTAAATGTCTCTGTTTTTCACCCGTTTTATTTTCTTTCAATGTTCATCTTAGATTGTTATAAGAAAGCATGCAGCTCGACGGTTATGTGAATCACGGACTCGACGAGCTGGTAATTTGGGCCAGGGGGGTAAATCTCCATCAGCCGGCTCAACAACCACCTATTCACCGACACTATCTCCACTTTTATACAAACAGAGCAATTTGCTTTCAACAGGTAACAGTACACGAAGTTCTACTAGTGCTCCGTTAGATCAGAATACAAGTAAAGAGATTTCAAGATTATCTTCTACAAATCCGGCGAATGGAGAGAGTATGAAACAAAATGATAAAAGTTCATCTATCCGTAAAACTCCTACTAATAATAATTTAAATTTAGCAGAAAAATTGTTAAATACTTCTTGCAGTCAGTAAGTGTTATGATTTTTGCATTCGTTTGAGTTGTTGTGTATTCTTATTTTTATGAGTTACCATAAACCTTTGAAAACTGAGCGCTGATATATCGACTATGAGTTTTTAGTTCCATGAGTTTTATACTTTTGAAGGGCTTCTAATTAAAATAAGAGAATGGATACTGAACAAAGAATACTCTTTCCGATAACCTCTTCATCATCAGGCTCTACAGTTATACATATATTATAATGAAAGAATGAATTAGTGTTATGAACAACATTATTGTTGTTTAAATAACATTTAATCAGTAATTTTGATAGATTACAGCTCAATAGTATCATCAGAAAATAAGCTGAATGTCGGAAAAAAGTACTTGGACAGGACAATATATACACATTTTCACAGCTTCGTTCCTATCAAGTACAAAAGAAATTTAGTGAAGACCCTCAGCCACAGAGTTAAAGCTATATGCTCAGAAGAAGTAATTGAAGATGAATTAAGCATTGTATGTGATACTTTGATCGAAAATGGCTATCCCGACAAATTTATCAAAAAACACATGACAAAGAAAGCGGAAAAGGACAACTCACTATCGGTAAACAAGAAGCCACTACAATTCAAGTCAGATAATTACGAGGGAATTAAGAAAATCAGTTGAAAAATCTTTTTATGCTGGTGAACTACACGTATTATTCTCTACACGACCGATGGTGCTAACTCCACTGAATGATGAAGTACCTAGACTACCTGGCCACTTCAAATTGTATCTACCAATTCAACTGCAATCGTGATTGTGGTGGAGCGAGTTATATTGGCCGTTGCTCCAGGAACTTGATTTTTCGTGCTCACTCGAGAACATCCCCCAGTATGGCTGAGTAAATGTGTAGTTAAAACCATTAACAGCTCGACATTGGACCATCTGGTGCAAAAGGCCACAAAGCAAGCCAGCGTTGAAGAATCCTTCTCTATAATCTACTGGGTGCCTAATAAATTTCCAAAATCATCGAAGCACAAGATGTTCCAAACAGCAGTGGTCTGTGTTCAAAAGAAGCACGTCCTGCCCCTACTACTGCCTTGGCCTTCAGTAAAGACTAGAAATCTATGAATTTGTAACATTATCTTTTCTAATTTTTCTGACGTTCAGTTTATTGTTATGTTGATGCTGCTGAACTTTCATCTACCGATATTACTGACTCGATGTTATTTAAACAACATTAATGTTGTTCATAACACTAATTCATTCATTCACTGTAATGTATATATAACTGTAAAGCCTGATGATGACTTTATCGAAAAGAGTATTCTTTGTTCAGTGTCAATTCATTTGAAAATTTTAATGGGCATTTTTAATCAGTTAAATTAAGGGACTTGAAGTCAATTAACCAATGGTGACTAGCAGTGGATGCATCCATTAGGATGCACATTTTGTCTCATTATTCGGGACTCGTCAGATGGAAGTACCTGCATTCCTCATTGAGTGACGGTGTTCTTACCATGGCTGGAAGCCAATACCCATAGTTTCAAACGCCAACAGTTATCCAATAGGGTACTTTGATCATGACAGCCAGTTCTTTTGCTGATGAGTCCTAAATAGGACGAAATGCGCGTTGTCCTGGATTCTACTGCTAGTTATCATCAACCAGTTGACTTCAAGATACATTATCAGACATCGTAGAGGCGTCTACACAAGGAGACGACAAGTCCAACCTGAGACCGAGCACTTCGGTCCAATCAATCGGCAGGAAAATCTAAATTGAATTAAAACAAGAGTGTTCAGAATTACTTAGTTTTTATAATTATTCAGGAGCATCCAAAAAAGAGGAGTTCAAAATAACCTAGAGAAGTTAAAGGTGATAAAGATACTTTAATCAACAACAATAGCAAGTACCAATCACTATGAAATGGAGACATTTGAAGGAAGCCGTATCTTTCGCTGAACTCATCTGGTCAGTATCGTTTCCACTACAGACTCAGCAGATAAAGATGTAGACTGTCAGCGAGTATGGTATCGCAGAAGCAAGATAGATTTTTATTACTGCACTCATCCAGAGGAAAAGGATATGGATCTTCAACACTTCCGTCAACTCATTCATTGCTTCTTTACGGTTTATAAACTTCAAAAAAGCGTCACGGAAAGCACTCCTTAAAGGCCGCTGCTGAATTTCATTACCAGCTGTCTTCACTATTTCTATAATAATGATCAGATGGCCAAACTAGTGGGATAAGCGACAAAGAACATTGGCAGTGAAACAAAACAACCAGGATTTTATCATGCGCTGACATTGGTTAGAGAACCATTGGAAAACCTGGAAGTACTGGACAGCATTTCATCATAGTTTAAGACTCTTCATTAGGACTCACACTCCACAAGGGGTTAGAACCCAGGACCTTCTGGTTACAAGGCGAGCTAGCTCGTAGACCATTAAGCCACTGGGAGCCAATCCAATGGCCAGTTCATGAATTCTAACTTCTGCGAATTCACGACATAGCGCGAGTATTTGTCACGACTTCTCACTAGAACCCCAGGTAACTACCTACCTGAATAGGGCAATTCGCACCCAGTAGGGTTCAGCAGGTCAGGTGTGAGGACAAATACTCGCCAAAGATATTGGCTAGCGGTCGCGCTATGTCATGAATTGGAAGAAGTTAGAATTCATGAACTGGCCTTTGGATCGGTTCCCAGTGGCTGAATGGTCTATGAGATCGCCTTGTAACCAGAAGGTTCAGGGTTCAAATCCAATTGGATGTGTAATGCTGAAGAGTCCCAAACTAGGACGAAACAGCTGTCCAGTACTCTCAGTTGGTTTTCCAATGGTTCTCTAACTAATGTCAGCTCATGATGAAATCCAGTAACCAATCAAATCCCTACAAACCAGCATTTGAGAAATAACCAGGAATTTATCGTCTAGCAAATATACTGAAGAAAATGGGTGTGAGTCGGATCCGCGGTGAAGGGACAGCTGAGTGATATCATGCAGTAGACTATCCCTCACATGGAAGTCTACTGAAAAACGGCAAATTGGGAATGGTTTAGGATTTAAACAACATTCAAAGTATAGAAGAATATGTCTGACTGAAAATCAACCAATTAGGAAAGCATGAGAGAATGTAGATTCTCATTTAAGTCACCATCTAGACTAGATAATCTATCTTATCCTCCATTTAGTTAAATTATTTCATGACAAAAAGTCTCCACATCACCGTGTTTTACGCAGTTTTATATTAGCTGAATCTACGATTATCCTCAATGTCAACCTCAGACATACGGATTATTATTATTATATTATTATTGTATCCTTTAGTTCCTAGAGGAACATAGGGCTTCAGCTGCGCACCTCCATTGACTTCGGTTTTCTGACAACTTTTTCACCCTGCTCCAGGTCTGTCCACATGCTTTCATCTCCTCCTCACATGACCTCCTCCAAGTCACCCTTGGACGACCAACTCGCCGCCTCCCTTTCGGGTTCCACTCGAGGGCTTGTCTAGTGATGTCACTTGATGGTTTCCTCAGCGTATGGCCAATCCATCTCCATTTCTTTCTGCCTATTTGTTTCACAATCGGTTCCTGATTGGTTCGCTCCCAGAGATCCCTGTTGCTGATCTTTTCTGGCCATCTGATCTTGAGTATTGAGCGGAGACAGTTGTTAATGAAGGTTTGAAGTTTGTTTGAGATGCTCTTTATGACTCGCCAAGTCTCTGATCCGTATAGTAGCACTGACTTCACATTGGAGTTGAAAATCCGGATCTTATTTTTGATGCTGAGTGCTGTTGACCTCCACACAGATTTGAGAGTAATGAAAGCTTGTCTTGCTTTTCCGATTCTGGCTTTGATGTCCTCGTCAGTTCCGCCTGTAGTTGAGACGATGCTTCCCAGGTAGGTGAAGGAGGTTGTTTCTTTCAGGTTCTTCCCATTTATGCTTATTGTGGTCTGTTGTTGTTGTTGCTGTTGATGTTGGCAAGGAATCTTCATCATCTCTGTTTTATCTATGTTCACGTGAAGTCCTATCTTTGATGCTTCTTCTGCCAACTTGTTACTTTTCACTTGCATATCTTCCAGTTTATGGGAAATCAGACATATATCATCGGCGAAATCCAGATCCTCCAAGTCTTTTGTGTCAGTCCATTTTATGCCTGTTCCCTCGTTGGTTGCCGTTGTCTGTCGCATTATCCAATCAATTGCAATCAGGAAGATCATTGGTGATAGTAGACAGCCTTGCCTCACTCCCGTCCTCACTTCGAAGGCTTCCGTAAGTTTCCCGTTGTGGATTACTTGGCATGCAGCATTGTCGTATAACTGTTGGATGAGGTGTATAATTGTCGATGGGACCCCGTAGTAGCGAAGTAGTTTCCAAATGACCTCTCGATCGACGCTGTCGAAGGCCTTTTCAAAGTCGATGAAGTTGAGATAGAGAGGTGACTGCCATTCCAAGCTTTGTTCAATGATGATCCGTAGAGTGGCGATTTGATCAATACATGATTTGTTTCTCCTGAATCCAGCCTGTTCCGGACGAAGTTTTTCATCTAGGGCTTGTTTGATTCTCTCCAGGATGATGCGACTTAGTATCTTGCTTGGAATGGACAGAAGCATAATTCCACGCCAGTTTTTACATTGACTTAAGTCTCCTTTCTTTGGAAGTTTGAATAAGTAACTGTTCTTCCAATCCTCGGGTACTTTGCCCTCTTTCCACACCTTCTCCAGTAGTGGTGTCATCAAGTCCGCTGTTGTCTCTGGGTCTATTTTCAAAGCCTCTGCTGGGATTCCATCTGGTCCCGGTGTTTTCCCAGTTTTAAGCATCTTGATTGCATTCAGGACTTCTGATTTCGTCGGGGGGTCAGTGTTCACTGGTAGTTCTGCTTCCGTTGTTGGTATTGCTGGACGTGTTGTAGGTGGCGGACGATTTAGAAGTCTTTTGAAGTGTTCAACCCAGTGCTTTCTCTGTTCCACCTCTTTGGTGATTGACTTTCCATTGTCGTCCTTTATTGGCTTAATCTGTGTCGAACGTTTGCCCGAAAGGTT